AACTGTACACCAGGTGAGGACAGAGAGAAAGGGGGACTCTCTGTGGTCAGAGAGCCCTGGTTTTCTCTTTTTCGTCCTTTTCCATTCTCCTGCAGCCCCCTGGCAATCTGAGTGGCAGTGGCAGCAGCTATGGTGAGCCAGGAGCCTAAAACTCTTAGGAAAGGGATCCTTCTCTCTGATCAGGGAAGCTGTGGCCCTGAGAGAGAATCCTAGTGGTTTTTGTTCTCTCTATATCCTCTCACTACTTGGCCCTGGAGTCAGACACAATGGTGGGAAATGCAGTGTACTAAAGCCACACCTGTCCGGCCAGAGGACTGGAGGGGACTAGAAAGAACTAGAAAGTATTGCAGAGCGTGCAGAGGGAGGAAGATTAAGAAAGAAACATCGTGCAATGATATCTGGACTCCTGGGGCTCACCCACTAGCTGTGCATGCACAAACACAACCCCAAACAGCTCCAAATCCAAAGGCCTTGCAAACCGAAGTAGGAGTAGGCACTGCCCAGGTCCCAGAATGGCCACTGGGTGGCGCACACACGGGACGGGTCTGACAAGCACTGCCAAGGCTGGAAAACGGAACCAAGGGGAACTGCCCACCAAACACAAGTAGGAACTTGTAATCCCTAACTGGGTCAGTAGCCTGCTAACCAAAAAAAAAACCCTCCACATTCTGTGTAATATTTAAACAATGCCCAGAGCTCTATAACATGATATTCAAAGTGTACGGGATTTAATCCGAAATTACTCCGCATGTGGAGAACGAGGAAAATCTTAGCGTCTCCAAACGGAAAAGCCAAACAACAGATGCTAATCCTGACATGACACAGGTGTTGGAATAACAAAGACTTTAAAGGCGCTATTGTGACCATAGGAAGAAATGGAAAGAGAGGAGGAGAGAAAGTAAATAGATAGGAGTGATACAAATAGAGAAACAGAAAAAGAGATGAATAGAGATAGGCAGATAGAGAGACAGAAATATAGAGATATGAAGAGAGAGACTAAGAAACAGGAGCACCAAAGCAAAATAGAGGAGACTGAGCTGTAAGAGGGAGCTATAGAAGAAAAATGTAAAGGGATGAACAGCAACGGGACAGAGAAAAAATAAATATGGACATAAAGACAGAGATGGAAGAACACAGTGATAGAAAGCAATGCAGGAGATAGAGAAATAGAATAGTAGAAACAGAAATATAGCCAGTGCACATGAAAGCTATAAAGCAATTCATGGTAGTTGTCTAAATTCAATATATCATTAGGGTTGCATAATGCTAATATTCTCATTTTAACATTTCTCCTAAATTTATTGGTTGTAATACTTCCACAAAAGAACTTTCATTCGGCCGGGCACAGTGGCTCACGCCTGTAATCCCAGCACTTTGGAAGGCCAAGGTGGGTGGGTCACTTGAAGTCAGGAGTTCAAGACCAGCCTGGC